TGCACCGTACACATTTCATGTGTTGAGCAAATTAAACCTTGTATTCTGTCAGCTATACGCAAATTTTGATAGTCGCAAGGAACCTGCAGCAATCTTGTGTACGGCACTTAAATGGATCGTCCTCGACGTTACATTAAGTTTGCCCGGATTCTGACATCAACCAATGTCCACTTGCTCAATACAAGTTGGTGTTTGTCCTGGGCACCGTTAAACTGAATGATTGATGGGAACATTCGCGAAATTGTGTTAGGGGAGCAATGAAATGTGTTTTAAATTTGCTAATAAACACATCTACGTTACCGTGACAAACACTGCAGTTACCGGGCCAGGAAGCAAACTTTGAACACTTCCTACGAAGCTGTTTCAAAAATGAAAATTTTAGGAATTATGGTCGCACACTGTACCTGTGCGTCTATTTTTGTCCGTGCAATAAGCAGGCAGTTAAAAATGTCAAAGTAGGGTTTACACATCCTTTATATTTACAGCTGCTCCAAGGGAACCGCAATAAGCGGGTGTCAAATTTATGTTTATACACCACAGTGCACTGTTGACAGTAACATCCAAAAAATCAATCTATTTTAAAGTCCCGGTTGTAGGTTCAAATAAGGTTGTTGTTTTTCTCATTGTTCAAGCAAGGGGTTAGGTTTAGTCTCGACAACCGAAATGTATCCTCGTTATTTTTTTGAAACTTGTTAGTCGTTGGGAGAACGACGTAATGAAGACACGTGTCCTTCTCGTGTCAGTTTTATAGGCGTTTACTTTCGAAAAACATTCCAAACAGCACTTAATGTGAGTCCAAAAAAAGCCACGATTTAGTTAAGGTGGAGGCTAGTGTTTACGTAGAGCTGGGGGTTTATTGGCTTTGTAAACTGTCAAAGTCTTGACGGGAATTTTTTTTTCCTAAGAACCGGTCAACTTCCTGCGGTTGTCAGGAGTACTCTGACCTGCTTGCAATGGCATAATAACAAACCATAATTACCATGGACAATGAGAAAAAGAAACCAGGAGCTTAATGGGCCACTTCCACCACTGAATGTGGAACATAACCGTTTAAACGTGAGCAGCAAATCGAAGAATTTATACCCTTTAGGAAATACTGTACTTGGAGTAGCTAAATATTCTTGCAGTGTGAGCAATACATACAATTGATCGAGGAATCCGCTTTTAATTGTACTTTTTGTTCACCTATGTCTAAAATTGTATCTTTGTAGACCATAGATTTGGTATGTTTATATATTGGTCACTGTGTGAGCTTCAAATTTCGTTTTCTGTTCAATTGCGTATTTGAGAGATGTTATTTAATGCGCGGAGATTGCTACCGTGTAGCAAAGCCCAGATGAATATGTTTGATAGCATCGCATTAGCAGTTATTTGTTGTACGAAATGGTTGCGTGCCAACATAAGGTCGTGATTGCGGGATATTTGCATGCAAAATGAATGTGTTATACCGCACTGCAGTGCGGCATGTGGTGGAGTTCAGGTGTTAATTTTTCCCAGAACTCGTGCTTACACAAGTGCTTAAAATAATTGGGTGCCAAATGCCCATCTGTTTGGCACTGGCTGATTGAGTACTTAAAAAAGTGAGAGCCAGGGACACATTATACGGTGAGCTGTCTAAATGTCCACAGAGCTATTACTATTATAATACGTATATTTTGTGAATCCTTTTGAGCAATTGGCATGAGAGTAGATTTGGAAATTGGGTTGTCAGCTATGATTTTAGTTTGTTTGTATTGGATGACTGTAATTGTAACGCGAAACCTTTCTTCTCTTTGACACTTGCGTTTGGTCGTGGTATGTAGCAGTACATATTTAGTCGTGATATTATTGCACATTTACTGATCGCGTATATTTATTGCACGATTTTGAAGGGCAGCGTTAATTTTTTAGTGTTTCTCAACGACAGTTGTTAAAAAAACCAAGCGGCAAGAGGTTGTGTCTATGTCTGTATGTACGTTCAACTTCTTTCGGACCGTACGTAGCCAACCGTGCAAATCGGTGGTAGGAAAACAATGTTTTAATATGAAGGATTTGGTGATACTGCATTGGCAATAGTGCAGAAGCACAAATAACAAATAATTCAACACATTTGTCAATAGCACTGCCTTAAAAAGAAACCTAACAGGTGACGTTTAGAGCAATGGCCCTTCATAAATGTTACTGTAAAGTTTGTTGATAAATTTTATGCAAATGCATGTAGTGTTGTAAATTGGAAAATTATTGCAATTACATCTCGGCTACGGGCACCTTAAATGTAATTATAAAAAAAATGGCATACCATACCATGGTGGAATTTAACTGACACTTGTTTCACAGCTGCTGTCATTAGTGCTATGCAACTTGTAGTAATGTCATTGGCAAGGGTAACGGCCTGTTCACAGCATAACTATGCAAATATGAAACACTTAAAACAATTGTCGTTTTATATTATACTAGCTTTACTTCCCGGGACTTGGATTCACCACGCCCGGCCGCCTTTGTCTCCCCCGTGGCGATGTTCACACACCACACCAGTTACTCGTTTGAGGCTGAGTCGACCTAGGGGAGGCCCAGGACCGGTTCAAATAATTGTCACCGGTGGCCGTGAGCGGGAATCGAACTCGGGTTGCCGGGTTCGTAGCGCAGCGTAGCCCTAACCACTACACTACAGCTCCCCCCCCCGCACACACGCGCGCGCGTCCATAGGTACACATACACGCGCTTGCTGCAGACACACGCAACTTTGAGGGTGCGTACGGCAGTAAACGACTCAAATAATAAAGCAATGCTGCGCGAAGAACGCCTTAGACCTGCAACACATTTGTATGGCACTTTACTCGCAGAGGGTTGGGGGGGGGGTGACATCAGCAGGCACACTGCATAACGCTTCCGCATGCGGGTGACATCACGGATGTGACGTCACAGCTCACTTGCCGTGCAAAATATATCCCCCCCCCCCCCCCCCCCAAAATACAAAAGTCTATTTTATACTTTTTGCATGGTGTACAGTCTGGAAACTACCCACATGCCAAATTTCAAGTTTGTTGCATATCGGGAAGTATGCTAAACATTTTGAACAGACATATTCACAAATGTCCCTTATTTATATATATTGATGTAAGCCATGTAAAAGTAACTATGATGCGGGATAACTATCCTTGATTTGTTGGTTGAATTATAAAAGTCAAAGATGTGGGCTCTGCAATTTCATGCTTACTCCACTGCTGGTAGAAATTGCTCCACTAGGGGGGGGGGGGGTTCCAGAGAGCCACTCTTGAGGGTATTCTTAGGCCTACTCTTCCATGCTGGCCAGACTTTACGCAACCACACACGAGATGAAAATCAACTAAATATCCAGCTATACTTCTGGGTGGAGTAATTCGGAGGGATTTAAGAAACTTGTCCCATTATTTCAACTTCCATACCGAGAGATCACACCAGTGACCTATGGAATGCAAGCCGAAAGTGAACTAACCATTACATTGCGCCAGGATATGCATTATATCTATTTAGGTAAAAATAGCAAACACCGTCAATGTATTAAGCACACTGAATGTTTATTTCAAATTCCAAAATAATGGGAGAGACTTAATTTTAATTGCTATGATGTAAAACATTTACATAAGCATTGCGTGGGCCAGCAGTGTAAAGTTCAGAAACAAAATGTATCTCAAGTCTGGGGTTGGTATATTTCGCTTAATTGTATATACTTAAGTATTCCTTGTTATTTTTAACATGAGATGCTCCATTTAGTCTCAATTCTGCTATTTGAACAAAGTTTAATATCACAAGTAGCCCACAAGATTATTGTGCTGCCCTGAAATGCAAATCTAACGTTAATAAGAGTAATAACGGTCCTAGTGTAGTGTTCAGCACAACTATTAGACAACTATTAGACCGTGTAAATAAATGTCCATCATTACAACTGATATTTGTTCAGGCGTGGTCATTCATTATTTTTCTCGGTTTTAATTGCAGGTATTTTAACACCTTTCATATCAACGTTTGTACATGAAAGTAACCTTTCTACTGGCTATGCATGTCAGTCATATTGTGTGAAGTGTTATTAGGTAGACATTTGTATGCTCTGCATACATCATGAGATTTAAGACCTTCTGAACAAATGAGGCATAATAAAGACGATCACATAATCGTAATGGAGTATTTCCATGCAAACAACCACATGGGTACTTTTTTTTCATTATATTAATCCACATCTACCCTTTGAAGGAAAAATGCCATACGGCATGAAAATAAGTGTCGCACATGAAAACAATTATGAAGCTTTTAATTAGTTTTTGAGCAAGATATTGATGAACGTATATTAAAAAATTTCCATACAGAAAATGGCAATCATCTATAGGAGTATAATTGAGTAAATGTTTTTTTTTATATTACGTCTGCATTTTACCATATATATTTTTTGAATGCTAAAAAGATAAAGGCATTCTTTCGGGTGCTTTGTTCGTCATAGTGAAACTGACATGTAACAGATATTGAAAGTCACACTACAAATCTCGTGGTATTTGTATGCCAATAAATATTGGTGTCTGCATTTCTAATATCACATTACTTCGATAAAAAAGTGTCATTTGTTTATTTTCTCATAACCGGATTCTCCTAGTGTAATACACGAGGAGAGTGGTTGGGGATACGAATGCAAGTTGACAAGAATTTTGGGGCACAGCGACCTTTTTATATTTAACAAGCGAGGCATTATGATTTCAGCAAAATGCATCATTTCGTCTGACATTTATCTATCCACTGTTGAATGCAGGTCTCCCCAAACTGTTGTCATCTCGCGCATATGGTGTTGCGATAATCCGTACGGCTCCTGCACAAATCTGATTTCTCTCCATATGGACCACCATCCCAAACTTTCCCCACAATCAAGATCGGCTGAAAGCAGACAATGCTCATTCGATAAATTCGCGGGCCAAGTCCTAATTCGTTTTGAGTACTCTTTGCTTACTCTGAATCTCGGTTATAATATCAACGTAATTTGTGCGATTGCCTTTCAGATATTCTACATTGACGAACGCTGGTGTACGGCAAAATGGCCACAACAGAAGATTCAGCCTCTCCAACAAAACAAATGGGACTGAAGAGAGGGAATCATGTTTATAACAAAAACTGAACATCGATTTGATGTCCAAGAACATTGATGTCTTTTGAGGTCGAAGATGAAGACAATACACGTTATTGTACACGTTTATAGTGCATGCACTACTTAATGGATGTAAAGGTACATGTTTATAAAGTTTATAGAACTTTAAACGCAAAAAGCTATTTTTTTCATCCAGTAAAACGTTCGTAGATATTCCACCTGAAAAAGCTAACAATTCACATGTAAATAGTTTGTTTGGATACATGTACTTACCAATAACTCACATTTAAATTCGGCAATCACAAATTCAGAATTATTTGATTAAAATGGTAATTTACTTACTTATTAAAATACTTGTCACCATGTGACTAATCTATTTAAACAGCCACTGAGGCCCGATGCCGTCTCAATTGGCAGTGTTTGCAGTATGATGTTTGTAGGACTTTTAACTTAATTTATATATTAAGATCTTTCCTTCCAGGCATGGATAGGCTGCTAGACAATGTGTTGATATCAGTTGAGCTGAGGTTGTATTTGTGAAAGCACTGTATACATTGATATGGCTCTCGTATGCCTTTCATCTGTGCGAGTAAGTGGAGAATGTAAAGAGCACATTTTCTTACACTTTGTAAAGAATATTTAAACGCTTTTAATGGCCATCCCGTTGCGTGAAAAGCTGAATGCTAAAACATTAATCCGTTCAGCCTTGTTTCCATTACTTGGGTTTTATTTTTTTACCAGCTGTGTATTATCGTTTGTCTTAAATTCCTAAAGATAGTCACAAAATATTGCTCCCCCAAATATATAAAGCAGGATGCTTTTAGTTGTCACATTTGTCCAGGTTACAGTATTAACATCTTGTAAATGTAAGTTTTCCAGCATCATACATGAATGTAAGTGGTTATTTATCAGTACATCAATGTATTAAAGATGTCTTACAGCCAAATAATGTAATTGATCAATCAAAATCTGTAGTTCTTAGCAGTGTTTTATTTAAATTTATTCGTAAATAATGCATCCAGCACTTTGTTATTTTGTTATATTTCCACAATGTGTTTTTTTTTACAAGTTTTATGAATGTTAACTCATAGGGTCTATCGTGAAAACATACTATTTAAAACATGTTTAAAGGGTTGTTAATATTATGAAAATTAAACGCTTAAACATCATGCACATGTTCTGTGCACACATAACCGGGAAACCAAAAACCGGCCTGAGCATTTACCCAGCACACCATGTGGAATCGTGTTTAGTCTCGTTGATAATGCTGCAAGTTTGCATTATAGCACATACGCTCAAAATGCCCTTTTTGTGCACTCTTGCATTTCACTTTATACCAGAGGTGCCCAACCAAAATTCCTGGTAATGATGTATCGGGAGTGTGGGGGTTGTGGCGCTTTTGAGGTTGGGATTTCGTGGCATTGAAAGGGTCTTGGGGGCAAGAAGGTGAACAGTGGTGCATGACTTAACTTTTGCAAAATTGGGCTTCAAGGCATAAGCATTAGCGTCGGTGGTGTTAACATTTTCAAGGCATGTTTTGAAGGCTATACCAAAGCTTGCCACCCATTGTGCGATTAAGCATGTAAAATACATTTTCTTTGCAGATCGCGACAAGCTAATGCTAACATTTCACGAGCCGAGTGACATTGTGGGGATTTTTGTGTATGCTTTCCAGTCTGGATAAGGGATTTTGATGGTCCATACCCCATAAGGCGTGGGTGGGCACTCGTACTTTATACAAATGTACATTTTGTAATTGGTGCAAACCAAAGAAAGTTGACCATTACTGTACTTGTTTAGTTTGGGGACTTTTTGTAAAAAAGTGATTGTACAGAACGGATTAAGTTTTTCACTCCTTTGTACATATTCTGTGTAAGCAAATAAAATCTATAATGGACTCGGTTTTGGTTGTATTGTTACAAATTGTAGAACTATACAATTTATAAGTATTGCTGACATAAACACCACACGAATAATGAAGCTGCATGTGGTCAAACTCTTGACAAACTTCCACATGACCTAACATTGTATGCCTTTTACTTAAGTTATTTTGATTCATGGCTAAGCAGGAGGGCTGTTTATACAAATCCTGGGAAGAATTTGCACACTTTTGCATGGTTCAAATATTTAATCACATTTTTATAATGCACTAAACACTTTAGAAAAATGTTAAATCTCAATCAAAATCCTGATCCCTAGGTGTAATGTGATGTGAAAGTTTCCTTACAAAACACTTAAATGGTTAAATTAATAAAAGTACACTATTTTATTGTAGCAGCCAAACAAGAAAAATAATTATGAAATAAATTGCAATGAACGTTTAGCAGTTAACTTCCAAGTCCAGGTTTTTTGTAAGACAACTGCTATAACTATGGCTGCTTAATTACTTGTTTTTCAGTATTCTCCAGTCAAATGTAAAGTATCCGACTCCAAGATAACAAATTTTAAAGCATAACAATTGTAAAGTTAGGCATTTATGAAGACTATCAATGAACAACACTTCCTACATTTAGATACTTGATAAATCTGCCAACAGGAACCTCGGAGAAATGCTATTTTAAGTATAAAACACTCAAGCACCTTTAAGCCTTTACAATGTTTATTGTAAACGCTTAAGTAGTAGGACCACCACTAAGATAAACGTGCAATATTAAAGATCTTTATTTTGCACAGATAAGCTTTACACATAGCACATTTTAAACTTTCACGTTCAGGGCATTGCAAGGTTTGGAAATGCATTTTGCAATCTGCTCTATTTTTTGCTCTCGTCTTTTTTGTCCTTGTCTTTCTTGGTGTCTTGGGCCTGAGTGCCTGACTGAGAAGCAAGCGAGCCCATAGCATTGCGAATAGCCTCATTGGAAGGATCTACTCCTGGCAAGTTCTCCAGCACACTCTGCAGGAACTCTGGGTCTTGCATCACATCATAATCATCCTCTTCATCCGCCTGCAACAGGAGAAATGCATTCATGATTATTATTTCAAATCAACATGACCGTTTCTATGGGTCAAACTGTCAACATTTCCTTGCCGAAGCAAAAAAGACCTTCTGTTTAAACACTCCTGAAACTGACAAAATAAACTTCCCGGTGTGGTTTATTTTTTAAGGAGAGAATGTCTTCCCTATGCTCGTAGACATGCTTGCAACGGTGATTATGCCAGCTGCAGTCTGGCATATACATACTGTGCAAGATGAGCCAAAAGCATAAGTAATTTTATAAAAAAAATCATGTGACATGCGTAAAAGATGTATTAAAGAGAAATTTAAATATAGCCTACTAAATGAAGTGGCACTTTAATTTGTTTTACAATTAAAACGTTTATGCAGTCCCCTTTAAAATTAAGAACGCGTTATCATGAGTATTATTTGTTTATAAATAACCCTTTATAAAACAATCTTCACCTTCGCAGGTGGTTCAGAAGTATCCATGGCAGAGCTCTCTGCTTCACTTGCTCCTTCTCGACCAAATTCTACAGAGGGAGAAAAAATAAATTGCAGTGACATGCAGTTTTGCTACCAAAATCCTCAAAATGAAACCATTAAGGATAACCAACAATGTATCACCTTAGGGAACTAGAAGAGAGCATATTGGAAGATAAAAATGTAATGCACAGCCTATTATGGAAAAGTAATAACATAAGAAAATTAAGTCAGCCTGTAATGTTGGAAACCACTTACGAATACCACATTATAGCAATCAACAAGTCTATTTGTGAACGAACAATGGGCTTACTCCATTGTGAACATTTTTCCTAAATGGTGTTAAAAAGGTGATTAAGTGTCAGAGTGCATTTATTATTTTAAGTACACCCAACTGTAAATGCTGCCATAGTCAACAAAACCGACTGCACTCGTGGGAGAATTAATGCGAGTTGGTTCAGCTGGCCATTTTGTAGGTATTGAATGGCTTATAACCAAAACGCATTAAGCTGCATGTGAAAGCCATTTTGAAGTCCTTTGAGAAACCAAATGAAATGGCACAATTTGCGAGCAAAATATTGCTTTAATGATTCATTTGTAATACTTGCCTTTAAACATAAATTTTGTACTACAAATTGCAGATTCATCGATTGATAAAACGTGTTTTAAAAATGATCATTTATATTTGTTTTGTTACTGAGCTCAAATGGCTCAGACTTTTGCCGGTGCAATGAGATTACATTCCATTACAACATAACTCACCGATTATGCATTCATGTCGAATTTCAAATTTCACTGGTAAACCATACAAGGCACTTACACTGCCTTAGATAAAAGTGCAATACTTTATATGCATAAACTAGCACGTTCTTTATTACCAAGTAAAACTGAATGTTTTTGGAATCTTATTTAATGCCTATGATTCCACACTGAATGATTTATGCAGGAAATGTGAACACTAAGAGCAATTTCCAATAGAATGGGATTTTATTTTGAATATCGCTTAGGGAAGCATAAATTACAGCCAAGATGGAGATTTATACCAATATAAGTTGGTCATAATCGTAATTGAAATGCATTGGTGATGCCAAATGCACGGAATTGTTCAAGAGTCGGCTTATATGGAAAGTATTCTTAGCAGTTGCTTGCAATGGCCAAAATGTGTACGGTACCTGATGCCTGAAGAGACATCTGCATGGCATAAGCAATTTGTTCTTCCTCGGACATGCTGCTAAAATCTGGAATTCCTGGGCTGACCGTTTCCGGCTGCTGCATGGACATTGCTAGGGCCTGCTTCCAGCAAAGCCTGGTCAGAGTCTGCACACAAACACACACACAAGCAGAGATTCATATGTGATGTCACATTTATACCTAAAAGCTTTCAGATTATAATGATATATATAAATAATGAAAATTAAATGCATTTGTATATTTTCATTGTAATTTTTTTTGTTTCACCTTCACCAGCAGCTGGTTTCACTCCGGCCTCAGCAGCAGAGGCAGCTGCTGCCCTGCGTGCCTCTTCCTCTTGGCGCTGCCGCTGTTCTTCCATAGATACACGCAGGGCCTAGATGAAGATTACACGAGTTAACAATTCTGTTTGCCAGTTATGAAGCAGTATACTAAAATAATACGTAGAATACAGTAACTTGCATGTCTAATGTAGGACGTAAAAAGAGAAAAGTTGTTTTTACCAGGGCCAGTTCCGGGTCAGGCATTTGGGTCTACCCCAAATTCAAAGTCGCTGGGTCCAAGACCAAACCCAACTCCACCCTCTCCAGCCAAAATGGGAGAGCTAAGCAGAGCATCAGCCAGGCTAGAACCTGGTGGAACAGTCACGAGATGGGAGCCTGTTCCTTCCTTCCCATTCAGTGTGTTCACAAATGCTGTCAGCTTCTCAGTGTTGCTCCCCTGTTTTCAAACACATCCGTATGAGTTTAAAATAAAAGACAGGGCCTTCTCACCAGAAACAACTGCAACACAATGTATGTATATTTTAACATTGGTAAAAAAAAAAGCTTTTAACGTACCTCTTCGCCAAAGTTAATGATATCAACATTAACTTTTTCCTTTTTTAGACGCTTTGCTAGCTTCAGGAGCTGGAAAAAAGGCAATGGTCAAACGAGGAAGCAGTGGTGCAGAACAGACAGAAGGCAATGAACCATTAACATAAATTATTGTGCTGCTGCTGTCCCACCTGACCAATTCGGTGCCATGGCATGTGAAATATATTATTTTAAGCAGCAGAGTCTGCAGCAATTGTCACATTAATAACCACACAGATGTTTTATAGCTAATGGGTAAAAGTTTTTCCCACATTTTTAAATGAAGCCGTAACCCCCATTTATAATGAATGTGATGAGAAGGCATAAAAAAACATATGCTATGTGACCCACTTACCTCCTTTTCATCATTGAGGATGGGACTTCCAATAAAAACTACAATCCTCATCTTGTGGTTTTTTCCCTGGCGATGTTTCAATGCCAGCTGTGTAGTAATAATGAAAACGTTTATAATTAAACAAACTCATACGATATGAATCCATACATTTGAATGTAGTATAATTTACAAAAAAATACACTTTGTTAAACCAATATTTAATTTTAATTAATTAGAGCATACCAGTGTTTTCGTAACATTTAAGAATCTTTGGACACAAGTAATGGCGGTGCTCCCATCAAAATAACTTTTGCACACTCACGTGAGCCACACGAATCCCTGTGCAGAAGTTAATATCTCCCTTGGGCTGCACAGAATGAAGTTTGGATATAATTTTTCCCGTGTCCGAGGTCAATGTTGTCAGCACCTCACAGTTGCTGCCAAAAAGTGAGCAAATATAGTTGATATGAATATATTCGCAAATTACTGTAAAAGCAAAAACATTCAAATATTTTGACAATTTTGTTTTTTATACTGTCAAAAACTTAGAATAAATATACATTTTTATTCCTGGGGGCTTTAAATATAGCAACACAGCTATCACTATATTTTGATTTATTAATGGTGCCGATTATTTCTCATCTAATGATATACTGTAATCTCTCCAGCTTTGCCATATATTAACGTTAATTCACAATTAAAAAGTTAAGTTAGTTTCTTGTATCATTTGAGTGCACCCCTGCTTGCTTACTTGGCTAGTGTGATAAGCCCAACATTATTTTCCGGGTTGCTGCGGGTTTTAGAGTGGCACACGATGTTCACGGCATCCTGCTGTGCTTGCAGGCGGGTCGGCACAAAGTCCCCATTCCGCATGTATTCGCTGTTGTCGACGCTGCTCAATTCAATGTAAAAAAAGGGGAGTGTGGCAGAAAAGCAATGTAATTTTTGAGAACATGTGACAGTGAGGTCAGGCACATTTATGTTGATCATAAGTTAGACAACACCCGGAGTAATGAATAATGCTGGACATAAGAGCGAGTGCAATAGTTAAATGATACACAATGCACATGATCCTTCTGTAAATGTAATATTCTTGCATACAGTATTCCCTCATTATTCGCGAGGGATATGTTCCGGAGAGGCTCATAAATACCAAATGGCGCGGATAATATTGGCCTACGAATATCGTACACGCAACATCTGCAGATGCTTCTAAAGCCTAGATATGTTTCTCTCATCTCTTCATTGTATAACTTTATCTCATCACTATATCTCATTACTAAATCTCATCAATTCATAACATCACGTTTCCTCAAAACTTTATTTCTCTCTCTCGATGGAGTCGTGTAGAGTTCCAGATGCGATTCGTGGATAGGCAAAATCATTGCTCAATAATGGACTGATTGGAACCTACAATGCACCAACGTAATTCCGAGATTATAAATTATCCTTGTTGGGAAGCAATGTGGTTTTGGCTTTCATTGCAATTTGATATCCGATATGGGGCCATCCATTTATTACGTACGCAAAAATATGTCAAAACTTGACCCTTCTCCCCCTCCCTGTACGCACGTGTACTTTTTATCGCCCTCCCCCCACCTGCGTACGTACGCTTGACGCACCCCGCCCCCCCCGAATCCTATAGAACGGCCGATATTTAATCCACGCAGAAACGATCAAGGATTAATAATATTAACGTTTTAAGCAAACAGATAGTCCACCGCCGAACTATCTAACTCATTTGAAGGCCAATGTAGACAAATAATTATCGAGGTTTCACCACACCACCCCCCGTTTCCTATGCATACGTACATTGTCAGTAGACCCCCAATACGCAAGCGTACGAATATGGGTTAAACCCCCCTCCCCCTCCATGCGTATGTACTAAATGGATGGCCCCTATGCACACGAAGATGGGATTTAAACATTCGAAAAGCATCCTTTCGCTAAATAGCATTCCATAATAAGTGAACACTGTTGAAACTGAGCAGTGGGAAATACAAAAAGGAAAGATGTATCCAGCATTATAGTGCATAGTATTTATACAAGAGCACTGCAACTACAGTAAATGTAATGTTATTATGAAGGTGTTCTTCTCATACAATGCATCATCATCTAGAAATCCACTACAACCAATGAAAAAAGTTGTACAATTACGAGTGCTCTCATGATTAAATAAAGGGTGCACCAATTTGAAGATGTAGTCCAGTCATGTGGCGCTGTATCAGAATCTTCAAATTTCAATGAGAAATGAGTGAATTTAAATTTTCGTTGGCAATCGACTTGACATTTCCCTTGTGAGCCATAAACTAACTACCAATGAGGAATGTCAACAGTGGAGGTCTCTTCCAGTTACACAAAATCTTCCAGGGGAATAGGCAATTCCCACCGGTGGCTCATGACCATCGGTGGTGACAAATGCAACCTCACTGCTCATTTCAGCATAGAATATCAAGATTAATTTAAATGGATCTCACGTCATGTAATACAATCTGCAGCCAACCAACAGATAGTCGCATTGGGCCCTCCTCTGTTCAAATGAAGTAGAACAGTCTAAAATAATATCATTCCTGCCTCTAAATGAGTATTTACCTGGTTAAATGTCAGTTAATCGAGACAGATAATTAATTCCAATGGGTCTTTACCTAGTCTAAGGAATCAACAGATTTACTATCTTGACAATTAATAACTATACAGTGCAGGTATTGCATCTCAATAATGCCTCAAGGATGCCAGTCAAGAGTAGTGATGGAACTTTGACTCACTTTATTGAATCAGAATCTGTATTGACTGGAGGAATCCGATGAGCTATTAAGTTATATTTTACAGATGTCCAGTAAATATTGATGAAGAATGCAATCTAATTAGGTACTTAATATTACCAACGGGTCCGCACATCAATGGCTCATCGGTAGCTTAAATACGAGGGCAATCAATGTATAAAAATAAAATTTAATTTCACCTGCTCATTCCAGAAAATATTGTATTGCATATTAATTGGCTTCAACCCTTCACCAATGACCAGCGTGAAGGAAAGCCAAACAACAACACCCATTACAAACATGGCGTGATGAGGCCGTGAATTGACAAAAAAATAAAATAGGATCTTTAAAATGTACTTACAAAAAGCCCTCGCCAGGTTATATAATTGATACAAAACAACATAACCTCTCTCAGTGGGCCCTCACATTGATTGACTACGGGGAAGTAATACATCTATTGAATATTCTAACGTGGCCCTTTCCTAGTAAATAAAGGATGCAAGTCAATCAACATAAGTAACGCTAATTGGGATGCACGGTTGCATCTCAAAACGCCTTTAAAGTACCGGTCCTGTATAATTATGGCGTGACGTATGACTTCTATGGGTCCTCAGGTTATTAAATAGTGTACATAAATTTTTTTACAGTGTACAAATACAGTGTACATATTGACAGTCCTGTTGGATGAAGGCCTCCCCACCCACCCACCATGCAGAGGGTAATGTGGTTAGTTGGAGCACACGTGTGATTGTGATGAAGGACCGATTCGGACACCACTCCACAGAGGACAGCGTCGGGAGTCAAACTCGGATGGTCGTGTGAGGTTTTCAGGGCGAACGGTGCTGCCACCGCACCGCCCAAAATAAACGCTCGTAAGCAAGTCGAGGTACAGATACGTGCACGCAATAATAATAATAAAAAAAGCAGTCGTCATTAAACACATCGACGGACAAACACACGCGCAACAGAAACATTAAACGAATTAAAACAAAGGAGGGATGACAACAACAGTGTCCCCCATTACAAGGCACTTTTGAGAGAGGCCTAACCACTCAAGACCTCGGCCTAGTTGACTTCACGATAAAACTCTTGAGCGAACCAGCCCGTCGGACGTGGTGGGGGGGGGCGGGGGGGAGAGAAGCCGCTCGAGTGTGATGAGGGTGAAACATCGTGCGGTGCAGAGCCTGCGAAGAATTCACAAGCGGACTCACCACACCATAGTACTCTCCAGCCCCATCGTTGCGGCCTCTCTCTGCGAATGTTTCGGCGGCCGAAGTTAATAAGCGAGAAGCCGATTGGCTGACGGGAGGAGCGGTGGGCGTGGTCGTACGTCGGTCCGGCGGACCAATGAGCGGTCGAGGTTTCACGAATCGCGCTCTCGCGGATGTGACGTCATAACGGGGACTTGTGAGCGTCATCGATTTGGTTTTGGGTTATTTATTTATTCTTAATTTTGGAGCTTTCGTGACTGCAGGAATTATTCTTTGTTTCTTTCGGTTAAGTCACGTCTAAAGATAAAATAATAAATTAAAATAATATTAAAATAATATTATTTTAATTTATTATTATTTTTCGGTTAAGTCACGTCTAAAGATAAAATAATAAATTAAAATAATATTAATTAATATTATTTTAATTTATTATTTTATCTTTAGACGTGACTTAACCGAAAGAAACAAAGAATATTTATTTATTATAATTGGTTTTTTACCCTTCTATCTGGCAACAAAACTGACAGTCAGTTTTGTTGCCAGATAGAAGGGTAAAAACTCAATTATCATATTTTTACTGGCAAATGAGGTTCCCATAGTGTTATTTATTTATTTAGGGCAGGGAGAGAAAGGCAACAAGGAGCTTGTTGTATTATTTTGGTTTTATGGGTAAAGTCACGTAAATAGAAACATAAGAATAAAAAATAAAGTTAATACAAATTACACGAAAATAAATCAACACTCGGAGTGAGTGTACTGGTAGTCTATAATGTAGACTGTAGCCTGGTTATTAAGTTTGGTGAGTGTACTGGCAGTCTATAATGTAGACTGTAGCCTGGTTATTAGGTTTGGTGAATGTGCTGGCAGTCTATAATGTCGACTGTAGCCTGGTTATTAAGTTTGGTGAATGTGCTGGTAGTCTATAATGTAGACTGTAGCCTGGTTATTAAGTTTGGTGAGTGTACTGGCAGTCTATAATGTCGACTGCAGCCTGGTTTCGATTGAAAGCTTTCGTGACTGCAGGGATTCATATTCTTGGTTCTTTCGGTAAAGTCACGGAGAAGGGAAATAATAAAATAATAAAAATTAAACTATAAAATTCTCACGTTTCGATTGTGACACAAGCAATCATCATCAGGTGTTTTATTTTTTTTATTACTTTATTATTTCCCTTCTACATGACTTTACCGAAAAAACCAATAATATGTAGCCTGATTATTAAGTTTGGTGAGTGTACTGGCAGTCTATAATATAGACTGTCGCAATGGTTATTAAGCTAGGTGAGTGTACTGGCAGTCTATAATGTAGACTGTAGCAATGGTTATTAACCTGAACCTGAGTGAGCGTACTGGCAGTCTATAATGTAGACTTATTCTGGTTCTTTCAGTTATAAAGAAAGAATAAAAAATCAACAAAAAAACCACGACATTTCAACACAAGCGATCGTCATCAGGAAAAGGGGGGTTAGCCTCTAAAGGAAAACTGTTTATAGAGGTTTAGAGATGGGAGTAGCCCAAGTGTGTCAGCAGCATGGACGGGGCAGCTCATGTTAATGTAGGAGAAAAGACATGCAACTGCAACTACACAAATCAAAGGGCTTTATTTACGTTTCCTATACTTTCCACTCCTATTGTGTTTTTGTATTGCTTGTTGTTGTAACATTCTGACCCGCCCCTCCTGGGCATATGTGAAAAATTGCTGTATTGCTCATCGGATTCCTCCAGTAGAGTATAAATATTCTGATTCTGAGATGGAATTAAATTGGTGACAAGAATGGAATGGTCAAAACTGACGACCGAATGGTAGCCAAGGGTGTGATCCTAGAGATGGGGTGATGAAATCAGCTCATGCGCAGGTTGCAAAATCAATTGCTACATCGGTGGATAAAAGATCACAATTCTGAGTTTGTCACCTCTGAAATCCAGGGTTTAAATAGAGACAACCAGCCGCCTCTGATTTACGCTGCGTTCTCACCAATGATTGCAGAAAACAATGAATATACACGACTGTTATAGGCGACGTTTCGGTAAATGGCCGTTCTTGGAATATCTGAAATCGTGATCCATTGTTTCAGATTGATGACCAAAAGCACTGCGGCCTATTCTTAGGTTTTCATGAATACTGTATTGTAGTTAGTTTAGCTATTACTGCAGTTGTTTCCCATTGAGCTAAAACGCTCTAAATGCGGTAGCCCTACGTTAACATCAGATGTTACATCAAGCAAACTTGGTTTTAAACACGATTACAGGCGAAGTTGCATTTAGAAACATTCCGGCGCATTGAAAAGAAGTGCAAGCCAACGATACATCAGAGATGACGGAATCCTTCGGGTTATGTGATTTAATTCAATGCAAACCATTATTTGTGGGATACATTGAAACCACGAGGTTCTTCTGTGCGGTTGGAAATTAAATGCGCGATAGGGAAGTTACCATTGTTCCCATGTTGGTCTCCAGAGAGCTCTCAGTATGAATGACACTTGAGTTTGCGCTTGACCTCAATGCGGGCTGGGAGTAATTTGGACAATGCAATAACATAGCGCCATCTAACGGGCATATTGTATATTACTCTCTGGGTCTTTCGGTAAAGTCACGGAGGTAGAAATACTAGATCACGATGTTTCGATAGCAACACATGCCATTGTCCTCAGGTGAGACAATACAGCAGGCAGACTGCTTAGGCAAGAGGAAATGTACATTGCTATCAAAACGTCGTGATCTATTATGTTTCAACCTACGTGACTTTAACAAAAAAACCAAAGAGTACGGATTCCTGCAGTCACGAAAGCTTCAAATTAATATTGGATTTTTTTTTATCATGCAACATGTCAGTGGTGCACAAGCACTGACAAAAACACTGCCTTAAACGTTTTTAAGCCAATGCTTTTAACGAATGTTGTAATGGGAATGCAATGTTCTGAATTCACTCTTCCATGCTTTAAACAGTATATGCATTTATGAAATGGTATTTTATTCCAAACTTCAATACAAATACATGTTGAATAGTTTTTATTTTATTGGGGCATAAAAACAGTGCAAAACCCTTGATTTCAATATGCATAACATAAGCATTTGTTGTGCCTTTGTAAAATAACAACACAAAAGCTACTAAAAGTACCAGTGTTACAAGACTACAAGACAATTATTTTATATACCAGTACTGTATTGTACTTTTAGGTTAGGATTTCCCAGTATATTGCGTATAATTTATTGTACCATGCAGCATTTCAAAGCCAACTTAATTGACTAAAATAATCCAGACTGAAAGCAATCCATGATTTTAAAAAAATACAGTTAAAAAAACCCTAGAAAAGATCATTTCAATTGGACATTTGATTTTTTTTTAAAGAAAACCGTATTATAAAAAGGTAATTTATCAGCACAAACTTTCATGTAAAATATAGGTAAACATACGTTACAAAAGGTAATTGTAAAGCGTTACATTACATTGTAGCAATATTCATGGAGCAGCATTAAAATTGTGATTTTAAAATACCATATATAACCATCAGAAATGTAATACAACGGATAGAGTTCACCTTATTGAATTAAAGTAGTACATAATGGCAGACATAATTCTTGGCACTGCATCAAGCTTTCCTCAGAGCCAATACGCATGATCTGATACATACTGTAGCATTGTTTGCCTTATGTGCTACTTTATTTTGATCTTTATTACATTTACTCACGAGCACAATGTCAAAAAAACATTAAACTAGTAGTCACTTGTGCAACACGTTAAGTGGAAAACCAGTATAATACACGTTTGAAACATGCATACCACTTAAGAAATTCAACCTTACCATTTCAGTGATATACATAATTGTATTATAAGTTTAAGTATGTTCTTAACCACACACGTATAGCATCATCTGCTGCAAAAGTACCATTCATCAGCCCTCTACTGCTGGATGAAGGCCTGCCCAATCATTCATCCCCCAAGGTGTCACAATGCAACTATATACTGCACACCAGCAGTGTCCTTTGGCTGCCATTGTTTAATCTTAACCACCAGCCATCCGATCTTGAATATTCCTGACAAAGCCCATATTAAATACAATGTCTCTAATTCGCATATTTTCTCCAATCCACGCATTCCTCTATTTTTCAGTGCAATAAATGTCAAGCACGTAGTCGCGCATGCATCTTTGTGCATCTTTTAACCTTTGTTCAATTGGCAAAGTCCATGTTTTTGATTATCATGTCATAGCAGGTAACATACAATGATTATATTAATTTTTAGGCACATTGGTATGTTCCTTTTCATTATCAAGTTCAGTTTTCTAAAAGTACCATGAACGAACCGAAATATAACTTTTATTAATGACTGTATATGGTAGTTTTCTTGAAAGTTCTGTAACGATTGAAGTCATTTGATGTCAGACCTGGGAAACCAGTTAATAAGATACTATTACGTTGTACAATCTATACGAAACTTATTTTTTTCATGTAAATGAGGTTACAAGATCTTGTCTATTCTCTTAATTGTGCAGTTTCCAGACCAACAATTCAATGCTTACTGGCCCATTTGCCATTTACCAATTGTCAATAATGGAATGTAAGAATAAAAAACATCCAATTGGTTTCTTAATTGATATTTTTTACTTCTTTCAGTGGAAAATAATGTACTCTGGTCCATTAAAATGTAATACTGTACTCAAGTGTTAGAACTTCAAATAATACATTGCTTAAAAATCCTAACTTAATGTAATACGGTTTTATCACCAAGTAGCTTCAGTCACATTCTTTGGGAATAATCAGTGACAATTTGTTCATCATCTCTTGAAATAAGGTGCGCGTTTGTTGGAAAACATGATCCCCAATGAGGAGTCTACCAAATACATTCGGAGATGGGCAATCACAGTATACCTCCGGAATACACAAGCACTTGCTAGCCTCTGCACTTCCAACAATTGCATGGCTAAGGTGCCTAATTTCAAGACACCTTTTCAGTAGACACAGCAAGTTGCTTAACTGTTCTCGCAGATGCTCCATTCCAGAGTTTTCAGGTGTCAGGCTATTGTCTGCTAACATGTGGAGCAGAGCTGTGCGCAGGTGGAATAATTTCAGCCCTGCCTCATGCTGGAATGAACGATGCGCGGTGTTCAGCCTCTGCTGCTCAAT